CCTTCAGGGTTCTGAAAAATTGTGGCGAGCAAATTGTTACTCCCACGTTCAACAATACTCAGAGCGCTACATATGAGGTTGAGGTTATGTGCATACAAGGTTCAGTTTGTGCAACAGTTGAAACCTGGTGATGGTATAGCACGTCAACATTTTGCAGAAGAAATACTCGACCGCATCGGCCTTGATGTGGACTTCTTGAAAAAAAATCATGCTCACAGACGAGGCAACATTTCGTGTCTCGGGTAAAGTTCACGGGCATAATGTGCGCAAATGGCTCCATGTCATGCACACATGAATCTACAAGTAAAGCGGACCATCATAACTTCTATTAAAAACATCAGCTACATATGCATTCCATTACTGGTGACTTATGATAATGTACCCTCATGGATCCTAGTCAAACCTTACCATACCATACATTATCCATCCAAGACACCACCATGTCCCTCACATCTATACCTACACACAATTACCAATGTTATAACCGATTTATCCATGGCACTACCACTTCCCTCCTATCTCCCACTACATACAATTTATCCATGTTATGTGAGATTCACCCAAGATACTACCACTACCTTGGAAGTCTACAGAGGTATAATTACTATACAGGATTCACCCAAGACCCTATACCAATTCCCTGACATCTGTACCCAACTACAATTACCAAAGCTAACTAATCATGATTGACCCACTGACCCAAGACACTACTAGTTCCACAACGTATCTACCCATGTATTATTGTCCTTAATAAAGATTCATTCAAAAGACTACCACTTCCCTGACATCTCTCCCTAGGTACAATTAGCCATCCTATACATGATTCACACAAACTCTACCACTTATCGAGTATCAACCTCTGCTCTCAAGACTCCAAGTAGTTCCTTACCAATAACATGAAGGGCAGATGCATCTTGGTTCCCCTTTAGCTCAGAGACACTCTATGCCATTCGTTACAGTATCATGCAAGTTATATTTTGTAAAATTGCACACTAGGCTACTTACATCCGCATTGAGAGACCAGTATTAATTCTTACTACGAAGGCACTCTACACCACATTAATAACCTACTGGCAACTAATCCGGCTTTCCTGCAACCAAAATATTTCCCACTTCACGTACTTCACACAGGCGAAAGATGACAAACATCGGTTCAAATAAACTTGCACGCCATGGCAATATAAGAGAGTAAAGCTGCACCCGACTGAGCATCCATCCTACCATCACGCCGTCCGAAGGAAACAATACCAGCAGAGGAGCTGCGCCATTTTCTCGCACGCAGGAACGGCAACGTCTGAAAAAACAGCGAACACATCCCGCCACCGCCGGGGAACTAGGGATATTCAATGATCATTATGTGCGCACCCTGACGAACTCTCCTGTCATCTACCGACAATACCCGTGAGGTACATGTCCGTCCGCGAACACTACACGGCACTGCCGAACCAAATGCTGCCTGAAATACCACTCCAAAGACCGTAAACTTACAAAGACCTGAAACGTTATTCCGTGACTACCGTTAGTGACACATCTTCTCCCTTAAAAATGACAGGACCTAAGGGAAAAAAAATTAAGGCGAAACAAGCTACCAACTTCGCCTATAAGAAACCAACTACCAAACACTTCCATAACCTCAAAAATCTTAAAATAAATTATGAATCGGACCACACCCAAAAAACTAAAAACTCAATCAACTTAGCACGAAGCACTATCAAACAAGTAGCCCACAATTCGCCACTAGATCGCCTACATCCTAGGACACATTTATCACATAACCTCTCGGTCGCCGGATTGTTACTGCACAGAGCAACCTTCGACACCCTGCTCCAGACACAACTCTTGAATACCTGCACGTCTACCTATAAATCACCCAGTGAAATCGTCCACGTCCTTTCCAACACGAACTTATCCTCGTCACATTTCATGTTGGCACTCAAGACATATATTTCGGATACGAAACAGGTACGTGTCCTTGCACCTTGAAAACACCAGAATTAGTTATAAATAATTCAGTTGTTTGTAGTTTATAGTGAGGAATTAAGGAAGTCTCTGTCAATGTCAGCACGTGATACTTATTCCCCAATAGAGTAACTATACAAATTTTCTCGCCGCTCCATCACATCTATTGTCACCATGACACACGCCTTTTGGCCCACAAGTGAAAAATAATTACAACCTGCGTACCTTAATAATGACCAGACCACGCGTTCGTGAACGGTAGTCTCCATGGAGACCGCACGCCTGTATCCTGTTTCTTTTCAAATCAACAGGTGGTGGAAATTCGTTACGATTCTTTGTGAACAGTTGACACGAGAGCAGCGAACAGTGGGTCTGGATGAATCAGTTCAAAATTGAAACAAATGATTCCTCGTGGTATCCTCAGGCAATACCGAGACTCTGAAGACGCCGACTGCATCTGAGGAAGAATGATACATATCAAATAACAAACTGACGTTTTCCTCTGGCTACGTTACCGTTCCCAAACCGCTATGCAGTGGCGTGTTACGTTCAAAGCTAAATAAGTAACAGCTCGGGAGACCTTAAATTACGTGCCGGAACCGCAAACCGGCTATAACTCAGATGGATCGTGATTTTTCTCAGTCACTCCAGGAAAATGCCACGAGATCTTAACATATACCGCAACCTCTTCTTCTCTGGCGTTCTTTTTCCTGGGACGAGTTGCCCATCACCTAGTGCAGAGGACAAGAACAAGTGGAGTTTTACCTCACTTCCACCCCTACGCATTCATGACGTAGACACAGTGGCATCGTTAACTCTGACAATATTAAGCCAATTGTATAATTATGTCATTAACAAACAATACAAATGGATCACTGCTTTTGCTTACGACGGCATTAGCATTTTTATACGAGTTTGAATATTATTCAAGCTATGTCCAAATTTTATAAACATGTATGGAGGTTTTTGTAAATTATGACAGCAAAATAGGATTGTAACTCACTGATTCAAAATTAGCCTTGGAAATAATGTTCATCACGTTCCACAAGCAGGGCTCTGACCGTGTTAGAATCTTCAAAGTCCGTGTGAAATATGTTTCCTCTATTTTCGGATATTTTTATCATCGGTTTTGGACATTTTCCGTAAGACGTGCGTACTGCGATTTAAAAAAAAAACAATCGATTTGAAAAAGGAGCTAGCAATAAAAATTATATCCCAAAGTTTATTTTAAAAATACTGATTTCCCAAGTTACATTACATTAACAAACCTTAAAATCATAACAATTCACACCTAACATGAATCATATTACAATGGTCTATGTCAAAAATCGCCTATTTCTCAAATTGCCAAGCCTGGTCGCCATAAAAATCGACTCCCAAAAAGGTTCTATAGTAAGCACATTGTATTCGACAAAACATTAGTGCGAAATGAGACTAGAAAATTCTGTACGCTAAAGAAACAGCCTCTGTTTTGGACGTAAAACACTCATCCACTGAATTAACAGTACTCTGAGCAGGCAAAATAATGTTCCGATCTAAGAGTAATTATTCAATCAGGGCTCTTGGTACACCGGGAGTCAGGCACGTAGACAAAAGAACCCAGTCATTCCAGCATTGATTACAAACCTAAATGAATTACACTTCATTTGTACGGGCCAGATGTGTCTTATCCCCTCTCCATCTGGACCGCGTGATACTTTTCTGTTAAGTTCTAATTATAAACAGATTTTACCACACCTCTTTTTAGCTCGAACTTATCACCAGTGGCGGATGAAATTATAAAAATCAAGAAGGAAAAACCATGGTTCCAAAGAATAATAGTTCTGTAATAGGATTTGAGGTTTCCAAGATTGGTGAGTTTGTAGATGGCTGTCTTCTGAGTTGTTGAGCCGTGTAGTCAGAAGACTCAATAATACTTCTTTTCCTCCAGAAGGTAGTGGGTAGGTTGCTGTATTGATAGGGCACAGTTCGAATCCTGGTTCTTGTAGTTGTCTCGCTCAGTTGTTTCAAATACAAAAATGGTGTTTTTAAAGTCCTTACAAACTAAACCATATTCACCACATTCAACGTTGTGTGATCTATATAACGTAAATGACGTCGTTAAATACAGTACGAATCAATCAATTCCATGCGAAGAATTTTTTTTTTAAATTTCTGCTTTATTTACAGAACATCTAATGATTTAACCCTTCAAATTCCAGTTGTAAATACATGTCCCACCGACTTTAATAACCAATAATTCTGCCTGAATTTTGATTTATTTTCTTTGTGTACACAGAAAATATTTCATTAAGCAACGTTAAGAATTGCACCACTGTAATGATAAAGTGTGGTGTTTTCTTTGCGGTACGAACTCAATTATTAAATATTATTTAGGCTCGCTTCGGCTTTCGAGTAACAAGTAAGAAGATTTCTTGTCTTTACACTTCCAGGTAAAAGAAACAGGATTACGTCTCATTTAAAGAATTTCTTCCTCTGGCACTCCATATGGTCTCCCGAGATAAATAAACCCCGTATCTTCGAGGAGAGGTCAGCGACGAGCCACCTGAGGAGACTTAACACGGCCATAACGTAACATATAAAGTAAAGCTTAATTCAATTCAATTCATTTAATTTTTCAGTATAATATAAAATATTAGTTCGTACTGGTCTTATAATCAGTCAGTCTCTCTTAGAAGTAAGTATTTTGCAAATTATATGCCAACACACGAATTATTATATGCCTATATTAAGTAACAAAATTGGGCAGAGTTCTCGAGCACTTGATTTCTAGTAACCACTCAGCTGATAAAGATAAGTGATGACAACTAAGACTTATGTCCTGCTGGGGCAGCAGCTCCAGAAATATTAAATTTTACATGCATATATTTTATAACATTTGACATTTCATGTTCTCATGACGGAGAAGACAGCGAAGTTGACTTTTGGGTTTCAATGCCGTGTAGACTCGTAGACAGACAAGAATGTTTGCGAGAAACATACTGTCTCCATCTTCATGGCTGAATTCCCAAATGGGGATTCCCTATCCAGTCATTATCTTGTCTTTAACAAAATCGTAATGTGACGACAGATTTTATTAAAACTCTCCTCCATCTGTTGTCTAGTCAGAGGTAGACGGGGGCTGTTCCAAGAACTTTTAGTTTACAGTCTATTTGCAATATTGTAACTAGGTTTTGTTTGGTGCTGGATTGCAGATTTAATGTCCCAGAATGAGGTCCGTAATAATGCGATGTAGTTTGTAAATACAAGCCCTATTAATTACGGAAAACATCGTACTGTGACCCAGGAAGATCGTTGGCAGGACGATCTCTTTAAAATTCTGACACTGACCGCGCTGTATTATACAAATTACAGCCATGATAGTCTCCACTAGCAACAGCTTCTATTATTTCTCATAATAATCATTGTAATTATCTTTAAATGGTGTTTTCAGGAACGTGCAGCTCATGATTGAAGATCATTTAACTAGAGGAACTTCGAATTTCATTCAGCCCATTTCATGCAAATTTGTTATACTTGAGATTCTTGTTGGCCGCAGAACAGAAATTTCATGTTGTAAATTATTATGTAAGGAGGCGGAGTTGATCTTGTCGGATGTTCGAGAAAAAACTTCCCGATGTTTAGTCGTAACATGATTTCACTGCATACGAAATCATAAGAGCATTAAAAATATCGCGTCGATGTTTGGTCTTGTATCGCATCTCTAGTGATAGATGACAATGGGTGGTCCATAGGCATTCTTGCGGTTGTAGAAACATCCACCTCTCATGAATAGTGATGAGAATTTAATACGTCAGATTTAAAAGACTAAGGACATTTTTTTGTACAAAATCTTGATGTTATTTAATGCGAAATTAATTATTCTCTCATACTTACAGATGTAGAAAATATTAAAACGGAGACCTTAAAAAGTCAAAAGCGATATCACAGATGAAAAGCAAAGGACAACGAATGGAAGAAATTAATCTCGAATAATTAATCACGTAGGCTCGTATATGGAACAACAACACTAAGCAGGCCTGCTTAGCGGTATGGATTTCAACTGTATATCTAAACTGCACATTTAACCGTGTGGTTTTAATGCTTTAAATATTGCATCATATGTAAAATTCAGTATCTTGCTATAAGGGCAGTAACCAAAAACAAGATGTACTCCCCAAATGCTTGCTTTAGCATTTCATAGGTTTCCGTAGCCGTTTTGGCGAGTCTTTGGCAAAATTTGATGCACACGCCATTCCGAAATCGCAGGAGGGTCGGTGTAATGCACTACCAAAACGCCCGTAACTAAGAAACAAATGCTAATTCGATGATGCCGGCTGGCACACTGATTCACTATGAATGTAGGCCGCACCCGCAGAAGCTCGTACTACATCCGGTTCGCCCTCTATTGACACAGTCTGGAAACTTTCCGATCGCACCTCGTAAAAACAAAGGAAATTCCGTCAGCAAATATATTTCCCTGGCCAACATTTGAATAGATAATTTCTTGGTTAGAAATCAGACACAATACCTGTGAATTATCCTGGTGGTTTATTTATTATTATTGTTATCCCATCTCTTCACCACTTTATGGGGTATGTACTTCCATGTACCCGAGACAGACCTTGTCCCTAAGGAACATAGGGCAGCAGCTATTTACGGGTTATTATTATTATTATTATTATGCACTTCCCAAGAATAATAAATACGCCGTTTAAGAAATCACGAACCTATGACCTGCAAGAAGTAATATTTATTCGCCTCAATTTTAACAGTTAACATGTTAGCTGGAGGTGAGAACAAAATTCTTTCTGTGTAATTTATTGGTTTAAAACAGGTTAAGAACTTACTATTTTCCTCTCTTATACTTAATAAACGTATCTTTCCTTCCGATATACCAGAGGCCAAATATTCAACGTGTTTGTAGTTAGATATTACAACACCCTGTTCACTTTGTCGTGGCCGCATTTGCGTTTGTTTTAAAAGTACGATGCTAGCCGTGAAACGTGCTGTGAAGGCTTCGCTAATAACCATGGTTACCGTAGCGATTAATCTCTCCCTTCGTATCAATTAGAAATTCCCTGCGAATCACTCGAGGCTCGATGCTATTTCGTTTTTTTTTATTATTATTATTATTTTTGTAAGAGTAATCGCGGTCAGTAGCTTCTCTAAAGATCGCAGATATCGGCGAGTATAAGACAGAAGAAATCATTTTTGATTTATTTGACATAAATTATGTGTTTTGAGAGGAGCGCAGATAGCAGAGTACAGACTTTACATATAATGCCTTTACCATTGTTATTACTTACTATATAATTTATTTTTTTTCCTGTATGCATCCAATAGGCAGCCCCATCTCAACTTGTGAAGTACAGGTACGCACGTGAAAATCGAAACATAACATCGTCACTGTGTAACTTAACCCTTTAAACTCGAAGCTCGCCTACACGTGTTTATTCGTCATTACATAACGTCATAATTAATGCCACAAGTTATGATAAGGTATTTAATTACCTGTTATCCTACACGTCTCAGCTTTCAGCCATCTTTCAGAGACAGTACAAGGGTATTCAATGGAGACTCATCGAATTCCATTAAGAGACGTACTTCTTTTCTAGCCGAGTCTCCACCACTGAATTAGTTTACTACATAAAACAGAAGCTTCTTCATTATGAAGGGATGCTACGTGTCGCGTGCTTACCTTTCAAAGTCGAATGTAGAAGCTTTTAGGCCGTTCTGGATGTTTGGCGCTGCTATGGACGTCCACTAGATTGTTTCCTGCGGAAGACAAAGGCTAGTATTAATTATAAGAATGTCTGAAGGTGACACAGTTTTTTGTTATTATTATTATTATTACCATTTTTATTATAACTCAATTTATTCTACATTTTACAGTGTATTTACTTCTATGTACCTGAGACAAATAGCCACGGTGGTATAGAACGCTGGCCTTGTAATCCTGGGCTCTCGGGTTCGATTCCCGGCGGTGCCCGAATTTATAACTTGTGTTGGGCAAGGCCGTGGTCTAGGCAACACGGAGTTTTCCTCCGGGGGCTTCCCCGGTTTCTCTGTGGCATCCCAACAATTACTCCATTCACACACAGAAGAAGGCAATGGCAAACCACTTCTGGATCATCTGCCAAGAACGTATATGAACAGGTCCCAGTCCGAGAAAAGGATTGAAGGATCCTGTTCATATGGACCTGTCCTCAGACAGAACACTAAATAATAATAATACCTGAGCTATTTCCGAAATACATTTTGTTTTTAATATGTCTTACATGTAATATATAGTTTTATTGTGGCGGATATATATATTTTACAGCAGCGTCTTTCGAATGATGTATAAACATCCTAAAATGCCAGTTTTCTGAAGTTCCCTGATGTCGTGTTCGCCCGGAATGTTGGCCATATTATTATTATTCGATAAAGCACGGTCCTTCTCGAAACCTCACAGTCCGTGAACTGGCCAAGAGATTCTAATCCTTTAACGGGACCCGATTCGTAAAAACTGTTGATAGGAAAAGGCACGGATTATCTGATGAAGAGAAGTCCACGAGTCAACGTTTCCCAACTTGTTTTAGAGGTTTTATTATGCCCGGAGCTGTAGTCACATCTCCCTGTCTCGCTTTTATCGCAGCTGTCTGTGAAGTTCTATTAAAACGCGGTACAGCAACATTTTTACACGCAGATGATAGGGTTCAAGAAGATAATAAGAAAAACTGATACTCAGGCATTCAAGTCGTATTAATCACTCATAATATCATCCATAACTCCAGGTCTCGTTGACTTGCCTGTACTTAAGACAGAATGATGGCGGCAATTGAATGTCTTATCGATGTTAATTAATAGCTATTAACCAGCTCAAGGGCTACGTGTCATACAGAGGGAGGGATTACAAACATCTTGTAGAACGTGTTTTCGTGTGTAAATGGTTAGCAATTTGAAACCTGAAATTCACTGCCCATTCCCTCGAGCTAGATCACTTTGTGTTGCATTAATTTTTTTGTATTATTTAGCGATCTTAGTAGAAATAAGGGGAGAGCCGGTATAGTTCGTATTGTTATGTCAGATTACGTTAAATATATTACGCCCTATATATGTCACTGTTGTGTTAGAAATTAATACCTAAACCCGATTGTTCAATCTTTTTTAAAACATCAAACATAATCTGTAATAATAATAGTCATACAACACTTGTCGTAATTTATATCACTTCATTGTAGCACTGGAAAGAATTACAATCCAATATTACCAAGTAAGACTTGAGGTTCTCACAGCGGTGAGTATGAAGATATCCGTCTTCTGGGTTATTGCGCTGTGTAGTCTGGTCGATGTTAACCAACGTTTCAGAGGTAATACTGCCTCCGTCATCAGGGCGATCGCCCTGATGACGGAGGCAGTATTACCTCTGAAACGTTGGTTAACATCGACCAGACTACACAGCGCAACAACCCAGAAGACAGAAATCTTCATACTCATCGCCCTGATGATGGAGGCAGTATGACCTCTGAAACGTTGGTTAACATCGACCAGACTACACAGCGCAACAACCCAGAAGACAGAAATCTTCATACTCATCGCCCTGATGATGGAGGCAGTATGACCTCTGAAACGTTGGTTAACATCGACCAGACTACACAGCGCAACAACCCAGAAGACGGATATCTTCAATATTACCAACCTCAAGGATCCAAAATTCTTAGTGTCAAAGATATATTGCAGATATATTTGAATTGTGGTAGTCTTGTGGCATGGAATTTGATTTCGGGAGCTGATCACATGGCTCCTGTTACCAATGTAGTTAATTATGATGGAGACTTCAGTAAAGTGGCTTATGTTAGTGTAAAAGTACAGAATTACAGAATATGTGTGCAGCAATGAAAACATACCTCTTGGGAATGTGTTCAGAATAACTAACTAACTAACTAACTAGATGGCTTACTGAAACCGAAGGTTCATCACCGAATTAACCAAAGCCCTCCACCGGAGCCTGTCCTGGGCCAACGAAATCCAGTCTCCTTCAACTCCTATCTCCCATAGATGCCGGCTGAGATTATCCTCCCATCTGCGTCTAGGTCTCCCCAGCGGTCTTTTCCCCTCAGGCTTCCCAACCAGTACCCGGTGCACACCTCTTGTCCCATCCATGCACACTACATTCCCAGCCCATCTCATTCTTCTCGACTTAATACATCGTGAACTTTATTTACGTGTCTAAATAATAGGCCTATTAGAAAAAATGTAAATCACAAATTATTTGTTGTAGGATTTAAGGTTTTCAAGGCGGTGAGTCTAAGGATTGCTGTCTTCAGGGTTGTTGCGCCGTGTAGTCTGATATAAGTTTACCGACGTTTCAGAGGTACTTGCTGCTTCTATCATCAGGGAGATGAGCCATCGCAACAACCCAGAAAACAGCCAATTTCAGTTTATTGGTTACTTAATTTCTCGCTTATTATATATTCTTCTTAAATATTTATTTTGAAACCTCACTATTGTGGTACTTGAAACCCGGTGGGGAAAAAACATCACCTAACTTCCCTGTAAAATGAGATAGATGTATGGATAGATGGTCAGATTTCTCTTTTCATACTGTCAAGATTTCTGACCAACCAGTGATGTATTTTATTTTAGTCCATTCCTGTACTTTACAAAAAAAAAAACTTTGAAAGGAAGGCCGGGCATTGGACACGCCAAAGGCGTTACAAATCGAATATTATACAGGTGTTAGGTTATGATGGGTTAGTGTTGCCGGGTGTTATCACTTAAGCGATCATATGCTAACCAGACAGTCTCATATTTAGTCTTCAGTAACCGCTCTGCGTTTTCCCGGGGTCTCGTTTTAAACAATAAGCTTTAGTAGGCGTGTGTTTGTATCTTTCATAATCACGACGAACTGCACAAAAAAAAACTTTGGTATTTAGACAACGCAGAACATTAACGCCTTCAGCGCACGGCAGGTAGGCAACACGGTCCACCCTCTTAATATGTGCTACATCTGTTCTGCACTCCGCCCGCGTTCAATGACGCCCTCCTAAAATGAGTGACAGAAGCCTTTACGAGAAGGTTGTTATCTGCATCCCTGAAAAAAAAAATCTACAGAACACTCACCTTTAAAAAAAAACAAATGTCCTGCTTTATTTATTATAGATCTAGGCAACACGGAGTTTTCCTCCGGGGGCTTCCCCGGTTTCTCCGTGGCATCCCAACAATTACTCCATTCACACACAGAAGAAGGCAATGGCAAACCACTTCTGGGTCATCTGCCAAGAACGTATATGAACAGGTCCCAGTCCGAGAAAAGGATGGAAGGATCCTGTTCATATGGACCTGTCGTCAGACAGAACACTAAATAAATAAATAAATAAAATAACTGGGTCCTGTACTCTTATATCATCCCATGGCCTACCTAAACAAAATACTGAACAGGGCAAAACTGCAATTTATTTAATGTTTTGTGTCGGTGTAAAGCTTGTAAGATAAATTAACAATAATATTACAGCCGTGATATATAAAGTCTTTGAAGCACCAATCTCATGTAAATAACGTTCCGTTGGTATACCTGAGAACTGTGGCTGACTGAAACCAAAAAGATTACATAACTCGGTGTCTTATTATGGTTGGCCATTTTAATATAAACCATTAAGTCATACATATATATTCGAATCATCCTAAATTGTTTCAGTACTGCATCACCGTATTTCATAATTCATTATCACAATTTAATTACGAGGTCCGACTTCTGTGTTTAATCGACTTATTTTCTTTCAGATGTTCAGATCACAACTTTTATTACAGTGGTTCAGATCCTTGGTACAGACTGAAGACCTTATTAAGGAAAGTACATGACGTGAGTTAGTTTAAGTTTGGTGAATACATTCGCTTGCCTGTAGGGACCTTGGCATCGAAAACATCCAGCATGTCATGAACAGTAGATCGTATCAATTACATTTCAGGAATTTCCAGCATAACTGATGGGACTTCGTAGGTATTTAGGTAAAAAGAAAGATTTCCGAACACAGTGTAAGTTTCAGACTAAGTTCGGCGTCTCGAGTCACACCAAGATAAAGGTACCGCATTTTTTAAACACCCTGTGTATTTATAAGCCCACACAACACCCAATTCGCTCCTCCATAAATCAAAAATATAAACTACATATCGATAGATAGATTACAACGTTACTAAGTCAGACACGAGGTTGCGGTCCCTAATTATTTATCATTAAAAACCGAATATCGACACTATTTTCATTTTTATTTCGTTTTTTATAACGATGTTATTTCTTTAAAAGTGTGGAAGGGGATTTAAAAGTCCAAGACGATATCTCTGTTGCGCCGCGCCGCCATGATTGCCGAATAACAGCTGCTGATGCAATGAAAATGTGGTTCGGTATTTTAACAGGCATTATCATCACTTAAGTACATTCATTATAACCGAAGAGTGTCTGGGGGTTTGTGGTGCCCTCCTTATATATTTTTAATAAACTCTTTAAATTCGAAGAAAACCACGCGTCATCACTATAAAGATCAGTTGGTTTATGCTGTTTAAGGAATATTCAGTTCCTACTCTGAAAAATCATATAAAAATTAAAAGTTTCTGACTGCTGAAGCACGTGGTACATATAATTACCACCAGACTTTAAAGGGTTAATGTTGGAATGGTATGGAGTACATAATAGGTGTAAGTTACTTGCCCACAGAATTATTTATTTATAGTTTATTTAACGACGTTTTTCAGTAGCTCAGATTATATACAGCGTCGAACTAATCACAGAAGATTCA